AGTTCTTAAAATATAAAAATAAACAAGGTCACAGCCTGTGAGCCACCGGGCTACTTAGCATGCAGTCACTGGAAATCACTGTACACTCATGAGACGCAAGAACAGAAAAGGCAAATGGGCGGGCCCTGGCCTGGAGGTTAAGACATCTGTACCCGACACGGGCATACCTGGGCTTGGTTCCAAACTCCAGCCCCTGACTCCAGCTTCCTGTTACCACAGACTCTGGCAGGCAGCAGTGATGGCCCAAGTGGCTGAGTTCCTACCACCCACACGGGTAGATCTGGATTGAGTTCCCCGCTGCCAGCTGCCAGCTTTAGCCTGGCTCATTACTGAACGAGCAGACAGGCGCTCTGTGTCTCAAATACATATTTTTTAAAGGCAAATAACTTTGCTGTAAGATAAACAGTTCTGAATCACAGACCCCCTGGGAGGGAGCTCTAGACCCTGGGGCAGGGGGTGGCGGGCAGGGGAAGTCCGCAGACCACACTTTGAGAACCCGAGCTTGATCAAGTCCACTTCACCAACCCTGCGAGTCCTGTCTGACAAACCCTAAACCACCTCCCTTTGGATATCCTCTTGGTTTTTAACTCTGGTAACTTAGGAAGTTGGACCAATAGCCTCAGAGACGGCCTGAATGAGGAGGAGGATGCTGGCCATGGTTGTTTTTTACTATGTTTGACATGGGGTCAAGGTCATGCTTTATATGGCCTCTTTGCTTTTTCTTGGTAGTTCACTTTGATCTCTGTCCCAGACCTGCAACTTCAAGGCAGAACCTGCATTGGCAGCGTGGGAACAAGCGCCACGGCAGCACCCACCCAAGCACCCAGACTTCCTTCCTGCATTGTCTCCAGGCGTTACCGTCACCCCCACGTCACCTCAGACGGCACCACAGCCCAAAGTGAGACGGCGGTGGTGTAGGGCCAGGGTCCCAGACCTCCGCATGCCAAGCTGCTGAGCTGCCAACCATGGCAGGACCGAACACAGCACATTTAAAGGTGAACAAATACAATCTTACTTGGCAAGCGCCTGGGGCACAGAAAGATTGTCGATCTGGACAAAGCAGCCAACCAGGGCTCTCCCCACAGGCGCCGGAGTGGCCGCGGGCACACTTCCCATCAGCACCACCTGCCAGGAGGGGCTTCTCCCCTTTCCCCGAGAGGCTGTGAGCCCGGTGCTCTCCACCCAAGCGTGGGCTCTGGCTTCCAACGTTACCCTGCCGGGCGGCCAAACTGACATGTTGAGAAAAGCTGGGTCTAATCAGCTGTCCACCTCCTTCGGTCAAGGAAACAAGGACTCTTCAGACATGGCCAGAGCCCAGAGCAAGCCCACCCGGCCTCCGACTCCATGCTGTGGGCCCAGCCAGCCAGCTCGCCGTGAAGACTGTGGAGCCGACAACCATGTCGGGGCAGATTCGAATCTGATCTGGGGCTGAAGAATGCCCCCCTTGGTGCCAAGCCTTTGAACTTTCCAGTCATTATTGGGGCAAGTTTCATTCTCTCATTTCACAGCCTACCTGAGAACTGCCCATAAAGATTTTGCTTTATCAAAAAGTAATTAAACTCTCCTCTAATGGTCTGCACACAGAGGAGAGGGGGAAAGGTCTCCTTGCAGTTAGCTATTTCCAGGGTGCTTTGCACTTGCAGAACAGCAAGCCTATAAAACCAGGATCCGCTCTGGGGACGTTTGTATTCCAGAGAGTGAAGTTTTAATAATAAAGTGAAACTAACCTGCAAGAAACCAACACTTCCGCTGAGCTCCCATGTTGATCTGCAAACTCAAGGTCATGAACACGGCTATCCCTGGCCCTGCAGACACCACCCCGGGCTGTCCAGGACAGGCCATGGACAGGAGGGGACAGCCGTCTCAAGGGGCACTGCTGGGTGAGCCAGTGCCCTCCCTCACATCTGCCCACTTCTTCCTAGCACGCTACGTGCCATTCTCCAGACACAAACTCCTGACATTCTGTGCTCCATCAAAGGAAGAACCTTCTCATAATCTGGGTTACAAAGTGGCACCGCACAGGCTGCAGAAGCCATTCATGAGGGCTTCGCAGAGTTTGCTTTCTAACTCTGAAATGGATGCAAATATTAAAAGCTCCAAAGACCGCTCACCAAAACGCAAATATCTGCCCCCTGCTGGAAGCTGTATGACCGTGCAGCCGTGGCTGACATTTCTGGAGGGCATGGGCAAGCACAGATCAGTGACAGCCCCTTTAGAAAGAGCCTGGCGGGGCCAGCACTGTGGCGTAGTGGGTTAAACTGCCGCCTGCAGCACCATCATCCCACATGGCCACCAGTTCCAGTCCCAGAGGCTCCACCTCCAATCCAGCTCCCTGCTAATGCTCTTGGGAAAGCAGTGGAGGGTGGTCTAAGTGCTTGGGCCCTGCACCCGCATGGGAGACCTGGAAGAAGCTCCTGGCTCCTGGCTTAGGTCTGGCCCAGCCCCAGCATTTGTGGCCATTTGGGGAGTGAACCAGTAGATGTGGATTTCTGTCTCTGTCTCTCTGACTTATAAACCATTTAGTTTTTAAGAATTCTATTTGCCACTTGTAAAACAAGGATGGAAACACCATCTAATTAGAAAAGGTGGTTAATAAGAAGCCCAGAATCCTAGGATCCCACAGATGCAAAGCTATCGCAATATTTCTCGTCTCCAATGGCTCGCTTAGTAAAGGCGTTCCCTGGACAACGGAACTTCCCAGTGCGCTGTCCTGCGCCTCCCACCCAACATTTGCATAACAAATGTGCCTTCCATTTCTGTTTTCCTGAAGAGTCACATGAACAACTAGGAAACTTCATCCAGGAAGCAGGGAGGGTAGACGGCAAGGAGAGAAGAAAAACAAGTCTGTATGACAAGGGCCTGCACTCCAGAGTAAGCCACAGGCTGAGCCACACATGGCTTGAGGCTTCTTTGCAGTGCCACGAGTCCCAAGAGGGAAATGTCATTCCTGATTACCACCTCCACCTCTGGCCCCTTCTCATCATGCTTAAAGGCATCAAGAAAGAGGGTACGCCTGCGTGCCACTCAAGCAGATGTGCATGTGCCCCAGTGACAAAGAGAGACTGGCCCAGATTCAGGACCAAACCAATGCCAACAACAAAGCTCAGACTCTCTCCCCACTTCCATGGGGCAGGAAACAAGAGCAGGAAGTCAACCCCACTCCCGATACAACAGGAAGAACAAAACAACAAGGGTTTTAGTCCTGGAACCAGTGCACCAGCTAGACAGTCCGTCCTGCTTCTAGTGCGTCTTCAATGCAGAAGGAGCTCACAATTAGCAAACAAAGGTGGAGGGCAGGGGCAGAGGCGACCTAGGGAGTGTTTCCAACACTCCGCCCCGACTCCCCTGTCTCTGCCCTGACTCCCCTGTCTCTGCCCTGACTCCCCGACTCCCCGGGAGTTTTATTTTTTGTGTGCAATGTTGCAGAAGGAAAGGTTTTTCAGGAACATTGTCTTTAGCATTGAAACCAAAAATCCTTGCATTGTCATTTTGCTCATACTTAGTCTGCAGTGAAGAGCTTGTTTCAAATGCCAGTATTATATGCTGCTTAAGTGCAATTTCAAAGACTATGTCCAAAAACACTCAAAAATATTGACGTCGTGTAAGGCTAATTAACAAGAGAATTCAAAATATACACCCTGTAAATATAACAACATAAAAAGTATACGCAGGTGGGAGGTAAACAGTAAAAAATAAAGAAGAAGAAACTGCACTGGAGTCCTGGTGACTTTAAAAATAAAATACCTCATTTCCTACATTAGCTATTTCCTGCAAATATTTGTTTCTTTCTTCTGCCTAGGATTAATCATCAACTGGTGGCAGTTTGCAGAGAAACATTTTATACCCACAAAGTGATTTACCCCCCTGGCTAAACAGGCTCCACGACTGCGCTCCAGGACAGAGGCTCTAAAACACCAGGAGGCGGTGTGCACAGCTGCAGCCAAGGGTCACCCACTACTCACGGACAAGGGAGGGCGGGAGCAGCCAGCGCGCGGGACCCCGGTGTGGCAGATACCAGTTTATTCAGCACAGTGCATGATTCAGGGCTCAGGATGCCCCAGAGCCACCAAGACTCCCCACTTCTCTATCACAAAACACAGCGAAGCTAAGGGTTCCTCTCCCCCGTCTGGAATTGTGCACACATCTCACTCAGCGAAGGCTTGGGGGTGAGGGGAACACAGGGCTGCCAGCCACCCCTGGACCAAAGGCACTTAACGTCAGAGACAGAGCACAGCCGAGGCCCGGGACGCCGCCAGCACGCCGTCACCGGCCATGAGGGACTCACCGTGAGGACGTGAGGTTCGCTGCTTTCCCCAGGAGGACACCGCGCAGCAGGAACAGAAAGCGTGCGTCGGCCCCTCCCTTCCGGAAAACAGCACAGCGCCGAGCTCTGACTTTCTGTGACTGCTATCACCCACATTCAACCAGGGGAACAACGGCCGAAAATAACCTGGCGTAAGCTCTCACTACGCAGTCACCATCGAAGCTGATTGCACTCACAGAATCTAAGAGCTGCAGAGCCTTGGAAGCCAGCTTCCATCCCCCCCATTCGATGGATGAGGGCCCCAAGGCCCAAGAGGACAGGTGCTGGGCCCCAGGCTCCCACCACCCCTTGTTCGGGGTTCCCTGTACTCCCCTTTCTCCCTAAAAGACTCAAAAGTAAAACAGGGCTGTGGTGTCCAAAGACAGGCCACACACGAAGCACGTGCACTTTCGCGGGTCAGCGAGTGGGTCTGTAAGACAGTTCCTTTGGCCGCTGGGCAGGTGTGTGGGCCACCTCGGGGTGGGACTACTTGGCACAAATCGTATGGAGTTCTGAAGGAAGCTGAGCACAGCTTGGTCCCGACGTCTTGGACTCAGGAAGGCTCTCCTTGGCTGTCAGTCCGTGCTGGGCAGACGGTCAGCCGCACAGCGGAATCCCAGATTCGAGGCGGAGCTGTCGGGTGTGTTCTGGCTCCGGGCGGCGCAGCGGTACCTGTAGCAATAGGACTGCGCAGAGAGAACAGGAAAGGTGAGTGCTCGGGGCCTCCAGCCAGGGGCCTGCGCGCGCAGGGCCTGTGCTGAGTCCCCATAGGCGGGGCCTGCAGACGCCTGGCACACAGCCTGCCCTCATGACACTGGACGTGGAGGGGGCATGAGGGGCAGTGCGCTCAAGAGTTAACCACGCGCTACCCAGCATCCTTCGTCTTGCCAGTGTAACATAGATGCAGCACAGAGATGCCTGTGCCAGCGTGACTTGGAACAGCGCGGAAGAACAACGCAATGACCCATGACTACAGAAGTCTGGCACATGCATTTGACGGAAGAGCAGACAACCATCGAAAGTCACGTCCTTACATGACGCTCATGATGTAGGCAATCCTCATGCTCGAACATCAGATGGAAGCGTTAGCGTACAAAACTGTGCATGTCGTGTGACCCCCGTCCAGCTAGCTGCACAGCTCCCCTCCACACAGCAGTTACCCTGGAGCAGCAGGCTTTCAAACTTCCCACACTCAGGAGGCAGTAACTACTGACATTCCACCAAGCATGAAGATAAAGAGCAACCGAGAAAGTACCGAGAACATTAAGCTATCATTTAATATCCAACACACTGGCAGAAATTAAACAGCAAGCTTAGCAACACAAAGTGCAGCACAGGCTGTGTAAAACCACAGCTCTCTTTTAAAACTGGTCTCCTGTGCCTTTGGAGCCTAAATCACAGTAAGCAAGAAGCCACACATTGTGGTTTGTTTTATATCTGTGTAGTTTTTAAACAACAGGGACAGTGTGCCCATGAACACAAACACAAGCAAGGAGCAGCCGGTTCACCCCAGGCACTGCCATCTGCCATTTCATTTGACTGGAACAGCCCAGAGGAACTAAAAGCCACCCAATATCACCTAGCTGGTAAAGGGGGCTTCCCAGCTTCCAGAAAGAACCACCATGGCACTCCTGTGGCCTGGGACTGATCTCTGATCCAAAACAAAGGAGGACGACAATGCACGAGTCCCCCTGCACACGGTGAGCGCAGACTCTGAGAGGGCTCAACAGAACCCCGGGCCCTGCCGGCTGGCGACACACACTGCACAGACTCGTGCTGAGTAACGCTGGAATTCACAAAGAAGAGATAACTTGGGGGTGGGGGAAGGCTAGGTCAGCACGCAAGAGTTGTGTTTTTTTTTTTTTTAAAGTTATTATTCTCTTGTCTCTCACAAAACTCAAATGCTTCTGAAGCTCATGAAAATCAAATCTAAAGTTAACATGGAAACTGCCAGGCGCATTTCCACCATAATACACAGACACAGCGCTTTGCCTTCAATGGACAATGAAACAGCAGCAACCGATTTTCTCATTTTCTCTGTAGCCAGAGAGCACTAGGATGTATTACCATTCCTGGGGTAGGCAGAGGGAAGATGAGTAAACAATGTGCTTGAAACAATGCAACACTGGGGACGGCACTGTGGCTCACGGTTAATCCTCCACCTGCGGCACTGACATCCCATATGGGCGCCGGGTTCTAGTCCCGATTGTTCCTCTTCCAGGCCAGTTCTCTGCTGTGGCCCAGGAGTGCAGTGGAGGATGGCCCAAGTGCTTGGACCCCTGCACCCATATGGGAGACCAGGAGAAGCACCTGGCTCCTGGCTTCGGATCGGCGCAGCACGCTGGCCGTGGTAGCCATTTCGGGGGTGACCCAACAGAAGGAAGACATTTCTCTCTGTCTCTCTCTCTTACTGTCTAACTCTACCTGTCAAATAAATAAAAATTTTAAAAATTTAAAAAAAGAAATAATACAACACTGATGGCACCTGCTCCCAGGTGTGATGCACACGCAACGGACACTCTAGCAGGTGACCCTGCAGGAAGACATGGCAGAGACCCTGCTCCACAGGGGTGATGGGAACAACCAGCTTTGCTAGTTCTAGAAGCAATGCCGTGGCCTGCCCAGGCCCCCGTGCAAACCACGCCCGTGAGGTGAACTCCACACTGCAGCAGGTTCAAGTTCGGGAGAGGCCAGTCGGCCAGGCGCCTTTGACATTCTTGTCCCATGATTGTGCTGCACGGGACGAGACACAGGCAAGTGTGTGTGCACACAGGGAGGAGGATGGATCTAAGCCTGGGCCTGTCTGTCTGTGCAGAGACCACAGGCTGGTGGAGCAAACAGTGACACATCCATCAGCTCCGGAACATGCTAGGGTCGAACAATTCTAAGCTTCGTAGAATTCAGGTGAAGAAAGTGTCACTGGTAGAATGCCAGTCTTCAGGAATGAATTCTGGGAGAGTAGACCTTGACCTTTGACCTGGGAGGGTGTGCACAATGATGGCAGTGGTTAGGGAGAGCTGCTTTAAAGGCCTGCTCCTGGCCGCACACCCGGAGACTCAGGTTCCACAGAGCTGGGGTGGGGTCCAAGAACCTGCATTTCCAACAAGCGTGCTGGCACTGCTGATGCCGTGAGCCCGTGGGCCACACTCCGAGAAGCACCGATCTACAGGAGCCAGAAACTAAGCAGGAAGGAGTACTAGCAGGGAAAACAGTGACCTCAGAGGCATGAAAATGGAAAAATCCAGCCAAGTTCAGAGGACAGCAAGACCACAGCCTGACCATGTCAGAGCCTGGCTTTGTTTATTCATTAAACACATGAGCTCTTACAATATGAGAGATGCTATTTTAGGCACGAGGGATATGGTCAGGCAAGACAAATAAAGCACCTGTTATCAGGGAGCTGGCATTCAACAGGGAGTAGTCAGCCAAGAAATAAACCACTTCCGGCCACAGCCATCTGAAGGAAGCACAGGACTGAGAAAGGGGTACGGGGGCTCCTTCCGACAGAGCAGTCTGGGAAGGAGGAGACCTGTGAGCCAAGCAGCTCCAGGGCGTGGAGATGAGAATCCCAGGGAAAAGCCGTGGCAGGAGACTGGGTGGGCTCTAGAATGGTCAAGGACAAGAAGCAGGAAGCGTGGGTGGGTCAGAAGGGTGGAGTCGCATTACAGTCTGCTGGGCAGAGGGGCTGGGGCTTGACACAGATGCACCAGCAATAAGCAAACATTTGTTAAACTGCTCACCAGAAAGGGCAAACCCAGGACTCCTAAGCTCTTTGGCCTTGGGCAAAGGCTCTCTGAATCTGTTCCTTCACAGACAGAGTGGGTCTATAAAGGAATGACATTCAAACCCTTCTCTTCGTCTTTAAGTTAAGAAGTGGAGAACTGGACACTCTGTGACTGTAACTTTTACTAAACACAACATCCCAATCCCGAGGGCTAACTGGGCTCTCTCAGGCTACCCCGTTGGTTAGGCTGCTTCCTTCTAACACAACAAAAGCACAGTCAGCCTGAAAAGTTCACGCTGGACTGCAGGGACTCGTGGCAGCCTGGGCCAGCATCTGAACACGGACACAGCTTTGCTACATAACCAGGACCTCCAAGGGTCCTCTGCTGATACTACACAGGGCTGACATTACCAACGGTACCTGTCTGCATGCCACAAAGCCCAGGGTGGAGCAAGTCCGCTGAACCACTGGTACCTGCCCCCAGCATGGTGTTGAGAAGGATCCTGCAACCCTAACAGGGGAGGGCACGAGACCCATGATACAGAAGAGACAGTGATCACTGCCATGTTTGAAAACCCTGGTCAATACAGGTACACAAAACGGTCTGGCAGGATACAATCTACAGGGTTTTTCGGAAAGCAGGATGAGTTGGCTCACAGATAGGATGACACTCAGGAACCTGCATCCCGTATCAGAGTTCCTGGGTTCAAGTCCCGGCTCCATTTCCAATCCAGCTTCCTGCTGATGCACACCCTGGGAGGCAGCAGGTGAGGGCTCAGTGCTTGGGTCTGTGACACCCAGAGTGAATTCCTGGCTCCTGGCTTCAGCCTGGCCCAGCCCTGGCTGCTGTGAGCACTTATGGGGTGAAACCAGTGGAAGGAAGATCTATCAAGTCACCTATCTACCTGTCTACATCTGCTTCTGTCTCTCCTCATCTCTCTACCTTTCAAACACAATTTTTAAAAAATAAACCTTTTAAACAGAAAGTGTGATTAATGGTTTTTATTTTCATCTTTATTATTTACTTTCTAAATTTTCTGGAATGAAAACGTTTTGTTTCTGCAACAACAGAGAGTTGTTGATCTTCATTAGATCTTAGCAATCCCTGAGACCTCCCCCGAAACAAAGACGAAGAACTGAACTGTAGAAGCAGGTCTCACCACGGAAGTGAGCAAGGAGAGCAGTCAGCTCCCACCATTGCTCCATTCACTCAGCAAACATTTATTAACAGGCCGTTCATTTTAAATTCCAATAATGGGCACCTAATGGAGCACGTAATTAAAGAGGTAAATGGCCTGGTTATGAATGTCCTCGTTGCTCTTTTTTTCCAATTCTACTTTTAGCACCGAAAGTGGTTCTTAAGGACGTAAGGTCTTTGGGTGGCTGAAAAATGGGTCACACTGCTAATGAAGAACAGGGGGAGTGGAAAGTACCTGTTTTAGCCCTGTTTCATCAAAACGGCTAATTACTGCGTGAAACTGAGCTCAGGATCTGTGCTGAGAATGCAGCCCTGGGCTCATGAGCACTCCATTCCAGAAATGACGTCCAGCTGTGGGGTTCTGAAATCAAACGGGACAGCAATGTGGTTTTTCAAAAGGGGGTCTTGCAGTGATAAAAGGTAATCGTAGCTCACACAGTGGGAATCCAACAGCAGAACACAGATCCGCTGGTTTCCCATCCTCTGCTCCTGCCTCTGACACCAGACCAACAACTCGACCTGGTGGGAGGGGAGCACGTCCTCCAGGCTGCAGAGTGGACTAGGACTCCACGGGGATTAATCCCACAGCAGCAACGGACACAACGGATACCTTCGAATATTTACTACAGCAGCTGGTCTAGGAGCTTCTTGTGCACTGACTCACTGAAGCCTCCCAACAGTCCTGTGCAGAAGGCTGCTGTCAGAATCCGCATTGTGCACACGCAGGGTGTTCCCAAAGCCCCTGAGGTCACTGAGTTCACTGTGGGGGACGCAGGACTCCTGCCCCTGCCACCCCAGCCCAAGGCGACTCTGACCCGGACACTGCACTGCCTCATGGCCTCCCTTCCAAGACCATCTCCCCAGGCAACTGAACTTTGGACGGACTTCAACAGAACCATGACCTATCATCAGAATTCACTGCAGCCACACCAACCAGCCTGGCCCAGGACCAAAACTAAGGCATTGGGACCGGCACTGTGGCACGGCAGGTTAAAGCCCTTGCTTGCAGCACCAGCATCCCATATGGGTGTCAGTTCAAGTCCCAGCTGCTCCATTTCCGATCCAGCTCTCTGCTTTGGCCTTGGAAAGCAATAGAAGATGGCCCAAGTACTTGGGCCCCTGCACCCACGTAGGAGACCTGGAGGAAGCTCCTGACTCCTGGCTTCGGATCAGCACAGCTCTGGCTGTTGCGGCCAACTGGGGAGTGAACCATCGGATGAAGATACCGCTCTCTCTCTCTGTGTAACTCTTTCAAATAAATAAATATTTTTTAAAAAAGTAATAGGTAATAAGCCAAAAGAAAGAAAATAAAGTGTTAAAAGTTACTTAGGCCAAAAGAAGACAGTATCAGAGAAAAGAACAGACCAAACAGGAAAACTAATACCAAAACAGGAAGGTGACACACTTAAACTCAACCATGTCAATAATTACATTAAATATAAATTATCTACATATTCAATGAAAAGGCAGAGATTATGTCAATAAATTCAAATATTCAGACAAAATGGACAAAAAGACACAAATGATCAGAGCTTATTCAAGAAGAAACAGATAACCTGTATAGTCTTACATCTATTCAATACATTAAATTATAGTTATAGCTTCAGGCTCAAATGCCACTACCAGGAAATTCTGTCAAACATTTCAGGAAGAAATAATGCTAATTTTATGTGAGCTTTTGCAGAAAACGGATGGTGAGGCAATGTTTCCCAACCCAGTGTACGAAGACAGCAATACTGATACCAAATGTGGGGAGCAATCCGGACTGGACTAAGTTACTGGAATTAAGACTTATTCTATGCATCTGCTCTCCCACAATATGGCGCTGGGAGAGAAGTAAACAGCTTCCGCACAGCTGCCTCCAGTTCAACTAATAAACTGTAGGACTTGCTCCTGATTGGAGGAGAGCAGCGTACTCGGCGTGTGGGCAGCCGAGTTAGGATTGGCGGAGGAGGACTATAAAGGAGGAGAGAGACGGCATGCACCAGGAACATCTATGGGGAACATCTAAGGGAACCCGTGCAGCCCCCGAGAGAGCCGGCCGGCGGTGTGCCGCTCCCCTGCGGAAGTGGGGAATGCGGCCAGGGGGAACCGCCCTTCCACGGAGGTGGAAGGGATAGTAGCCAACCCGGGAAGAACCAGCAGCAAACCCGGGGAGGGCCGAGCAGACGAAAGAACAGCGCAGGGTCCTGTGTCGTTCCTCCACGAAGAGGGGGAGCGACATAATGGTGCCGTGACTCGGATATGAAGCCTAGGCAGGGTTCAGTGTCGCTCCTCCACGAAAACAGGGAGCGACATAGTGGTGCCGTGACTCGGATATGAAGCCTAGGCAGGGCTTAGTGTCGTTCCTCCACGAAGAGGGGGAGCGACATAATGGTGCCGTGACTCGGATAGGAAACCTAGCTCGGATAGGAAACCTAGCTCGGATAGGAAACGTGACTCGGATAGGAAACTTAGGAGGGAAGAAACGGGAAGAAGTGGAAATTACCGGAGAGAGAGACTAGCAAACAGCCTAGGGAAAAGCCGGACGAAAAGGGTGCCGGAAGAAGCTGTTGAAAGCCTAGGCATAGATTCGGATACGGACTACGGGGGGAAGCTGGGAGAAATCTCTAAGGTTGAAAGCGAAAGTGAAAGCTAGAACAAACAGACTCGGACGCAGACTGTGGGGAGAGGCCAGGAGAAATGAGGGAGGAATATCGTTGGAGGAAAGTTTGGGGAAACATACCGGGTAGAGAAAAATGTTAGGGAAAATGAAGCCGCGAGTGCAGGCCGAGGCGGATACGAAAGCCACTTTGGGATTCTCAAGTTAGCCCGGGAATAGGGGGCGAAAAGTTGAAACCAGAAGCTGAAACGGAAGCCAGATCGTGGGGCGGAGACGTATGCTGGGTTGAATTCGCCAGGCTAGCCCGGGGAACTTAGATTGAATGCTAGTGGCGGACACGTAAGCTACGCTGTGTTACTTGCGGAAGCCGCCGCGTGCAGAGAGAGCACGGGGCGTGAATAGATAGGGAACGGGGCTGGCGTGAGGCCGTGGTGCAGACGCGAAGGGCGTGGAGACCGCGGAGCGCGCGAAGCCAAGCCGCGCAAAGCCGGGAAGCTGCGCAGATGAAAGAGGCGCGGGCTGAAGCGGCTCAGCCGGGAAGCCGCCGAGAAGTAGCCTCGGGGCGGGCAGCGGGAAGCTGCAGGGATAAGAGAAATAGAAGTTTAGAAGCAAAGTGAGAGAAATAGGAATGCTGGAAGACAGAAGTAAAATGGGAGAAATAGGAATGCCCGGAGATAGAGAAATAGAGAAATAGAAAGGCCTCCCTACAACACTGCAATGTGAGAGCTTGGATTCGGTCTGCCTGATTAAGTGAGGCGATGAGCACGATGAGCACCTGGGCGGCTAGCAGCTTATGCGCCGCAGGTCACCGAAGACAGGCACGAATTAACATCAGTAAGGCCTCCCCACAAAAAGGCAATGAGAAGGCTTGGATTCGGTTTGCCTGATAGAGCTTGTAAGCCCCTGCAGGCAGAGCAGAGCATGCGCTGCGGGGCACCGAACACAGGCACGCATCAGCGCCTAAAAACCTCCTCACAATGGCGAAGAGAGGACCCGGATTCGGTTTGCCTGATTGATAGGACTTGTAAGAGCCTGTGGCAACTCTAGCAAGTAGAGCAGAGTGTGTGCCGCGGGACACCGAAGACAGGCGCGTATCAACGCCAAAAATAAAAAGAAAGGGGGATCTGTGGGGAGCAATCCGGACTGGACTAAGTTACTGGAATTAAGACTTATTCTATGCATCTGCTCTCCCACAATATGGCGCTGGGAGAGAAGTAAACAGCTTCCGCACAGCTGCCTCCAGTTCAACTAATAAACTGTAGGACTTGCTCCTGATTGGAGGAGAGCAGCGTACTCGGCGTGTGGGCAGCCGAGTTAGGATTGGCGGAGGAGGACTATAAAGGAGGAGAGAGACGGCATGCACCAGGAACATCTATGGGGAACATCTAAGGGAACCCGTGCAGCCCCCGAGAGAGCCGGCCGGCGGTGTGCCGCTCCCCTGCGGAAGTGGGGAATGCGGCCAGGGGGAACCGCCCTTCCACGGAGGTGGAAGGGATAGTAGCCAACCCGGGAAGAACCAGCAGCAAACCCGGGGAGGGCCGAGCAGACGAAAGAACAGCGCAGGGTCCTGTGTCGTTCCTCCACGAAGAGGGGGAGCGACACCAAATGTAGAAAAAGATATTCTAAGAAAAGAAAGAGACCAACACAGATGCAACAATGCTCAGCATTTCAGCAAATCAACTTCAAAGTATACAAAATGGGGTAACACATCATGACTAAGTGGTACATATTGCAGAAAGGCAAGGATGGTTTAATATTTGAAAATAAATCAGTGTAACTAACTCACCATGCTAACAAACTGAAAAAGAAAACCTCTTCATCATCTCAACCAATCCAGAGAAAAATTCTAACAAAATCCATGTCTACTGCTGATAAAAAAAAAACTCCTTAAAAACTAGGAACAGAAGGAGCTTCCTCAAGCTGACAAAAGCATCTACGGAAAAGTGACAGCTAATCTAACTATGAAAAACCAGATAAATGTTTATCCCCGAAGATCAAGAATGAAGTACAAGGTACCCCTCCTACTCGAGGAATCCTGGAGTTTCTAGCCAATGCCACACAGCAAGAAAAATATCACAAAACACATTCCGATTAAAGAAGAAGTGAAGTTGTCTATATTCACAAATCATGATTTCTCATGAAGAAAATGTGACAGAATCTACAAAAACATTACTAGAGATAGTATGAGGAGGCTTCCAGAAATCCGTGGATAATGCACATTATCTTGTAATTCCACTTTTCATGAGATTTTTTGAGGTGCTTTGTAGGTAAGCTTAACAAGGCTAGAGGAAACGAGATGAACACAAACGTGGTACAGGGCTCTCGGATGAAGTAACTGACATGAGGAAAAGGGACAACCCTGGTCTCGCAGGGACACGAGTCCGCAGCTGCAGCGTGGAGCTGTGGGTCATGCACAACCTCTGCTTCGCCTGCCGCGCGCCCGTGCTATGAGCCGTTCCCAGATTGCCCACCATTCTCTGGTTTGGAAGGTGACCAGTGGATCTCAGCATAAGTGAAGGGGACCCTCTGGGAACACACGAGGGGAGGGACGGCACTGACCTTATGGCACATGTAGGATCCACCTTTCTTCACCCGGTCCTTCCCCGAAGGGGGTCCTTTCTACGGATGGAGAGAAAAAAACACCGTCAGTCCAGGGTACGCGGCTGCCTCTCACACCGTGGCCCTCACCAGCCTCCTCTGCTGCTCTGAACTCTCCACTCCCACTGCTGCCCCAGGACCTCAAACAGGCTCCTCACACCTCCCTGCTGGTCCAGGTCCCCAGATGCCCTCCTGCCCTTTCTCATCACACCCCCTCCCTTCCCTTGGTGGAGTCTTAAGACCACCGGAAGCGATCCAGGTGCAGCCCCCACAGCACCTCCTCCTGGCAGCGTCTCTGGCCTCATTGCACCCCCTACAAATTCAGCCTGCACTGTGACTGCCCTCACCCAGCCTCATTATAGGTTTTTGTAGGGTTAGTAAACTCTTTGCTGATTGATTGAAAGGATTTTCCTTTTATCTTTAAAAAGAACAAATGGGGTAAGATTTATTGGGGACTTAATTTACAAACAATAAAAAATAACCATTTTTTTAGAAAGTAATCATTACATTGATGGTTTCCTTTCTGTGCTGACAGCGACTGTATTTACGGGCGACAAAGCATGGATATACACACACTGATCAAATCAGGCACATCCCAGCATTCCTCCTTGTTTATTGTTTTAAACTTTATTTATTTATTTATTTGAATGACAGAGTTACAGAGAGGTAGAGACAAAGAGAGAGGTCTTCCATCCGATGGTTCACTGCTGCAACAGCCAGAGCTGAGCCAATCCAAAGCCAGGAGCCAGGAGCTTCCTCAGGGTCCCCCACACAGGTGCAGAGGCCCAAGGACTTGGGCCATCTTCTACTGCTATCCCAGGCCATAGGAGAGAGCAGATCAGAAGAGGAGCAGCCGGGACTAGAACTGGCACCCATATGGGATACCGGCGTTTCAGGCCAGGGCTTTAACCCGCTGAGCCACAGTGCCGGCTCCTCCCCCTTCTTTGACATCACTTTATGGCTGCAGCCCTGGAGCACCTTTCTCCTATTTGCTCACAAAATACATAATAGAATACCCACAATGTAACACTAGGAGCTAATTGATGTTTAATGCACAGCTTGGATAAGTTTTGACAAATAAATACAGTGATAGAATATGGCTTATCTAACTCCTTTAACCAAAACTTTTCTGTAGTGCCTACTCTGAACCAGGCCTGGCTGGGAGCACCTGCAAGGATGGGCTCCTGTGCTCCCCACACAACCCCAGGGCCATGGGTCACAAGTGGCAGAAGAGGCCTTCTGAGAGTACAGTTTGAAAACCTGCTACGGGGTCCCAAATCCCCTTGGGCTCTCCAGGCTCCAGGCTCTGCAGCACTCCACCTGCTTCCAGAGACCAGCAGGGCAGAAAACGACTGTACAAAGAAGGAAGGTGACGCTCACTGTGATGAGAATTAAGAGCCAGACACAGCCAGGCAAAAGGTACGACTGTGTTTCTACGGAGGGCTGAACTGTAAATCAACATGCTGAAGCTCGGCTGCCAGGACCAGAGCCTGACATCAGGCAAGTGCACGCAGACATCTGAAGGTACCAGGAAGCTCCTCCATGCCAGAGCCACACCAGAGCCACACCACACCGGGGCCACGCCAGGGCAGCCTGAGGGTGGGAGTCTGTGCTTCTCATTCATGCAGACAACCCATCACACAGATGTCTGCTCTTTGTTTACGGAAAACAAAAGGCGCCTGGACAACCCTCACCCCTCCACACACAGAAACCCTGGTTTTCCCATTTCTTGTCAGTCACCTCCTGGCCAGGGCCCTGGCCCAAATGGCAGAAGCTGAAAGAACCGAGTGTTCCCTGAGCACGGCTTAACACTGCCTTTCAAATGGCAACTGCGTGGGCAGAAGCGCGTCATTCCTTCAAAGCACTTCCAGATGCTCAAAGGTGTCATAGGCAACGCCACTGCCTAGCCTTCCTTCCTCTGCGTGGCTCCGGCAGTTCCACTGAAAGACCTCAAATGCTTAATGTTACATCACCAACTCTACCAACCGTAAAGGGTCAACTGGAACATGCGAAAGCAACACGTGCAATCAAAAGGCGACTACAGCTCAGCTTTCCCCCCCGAGGCACGGAGAACCTAAAGCTGCGGCGTGAGAGCCTGCTGCGTGAGTTTATGACTCCACACGGAGTAAGCGCTTCACCAGGAAGGCACGGCAGCAGAATCGAGAGCAGTGACGACCGGGCAGCTGCTCCGTGTCAGAGCCACCCTCGCCTAGGTTCTCCAGCTGCTGTGTCTCGACGGCCCACATGACAGTTAAAATTCTGAGCCAACTCTCTCACAGGATCTCCCAGCAAACAAGACTCAATTCTTGGGCCAGCATTGTGGCGCAGCAGGTTAAGCCACCACCTGCAATGCTGGCACCCCAAACGGGCGACAGTTCAAGTCCTGGCTGCTCCAATTCCAACTCAGCTCCCTGCTAATGCACCTGGGAAGGCAGTGGGACATGGCCCAAGTGCTTCAGCCCCTGCACCCACATGGGTAACCCCGATGAAGCTCCTGGCTCCTGGCTTCAGGCTAGCTCAGGCCTGGCCTTTGCAGCCATTTGGGAAGTGAACTATTTCTGTCTCTCCCTCCCTCCCTCCCTTCTATAACTCTGACTTTCAAATAAATAAAATAAACCTCATAAAGAAGAATTCTTTTGTTGAGAAGAACATCTAAGAATGAGAGGGAGCTGATGTGCCCATGGGAAGGGATGCCCTGGGCCAGCCAGCAGCAGGCGTGGCACCTGAGCACGAGGGACTCGTCAGATGCCTCCCACTCTGACACAGGGCAGCGAGAGGGCTGAGTCCTCCCTCTAGGGGGCTGCCTGGCCAGCTCTCGCAAATCTAGAAAACAACGCGAAGCCGCCACGGTGCTGAAAACCAGGAAGATTACTAGGAGGGGTGAACGGCGCCCTCAGACTTCCCCTTCACTCAGAGCCCCAGGGTGCAGCCTGATTTGGAGACAGGGGCTTTGCAGACTCGTAACTCTCATAATGAAGGTTAGGACACATCTGAGGACAGCAGGTCCTCAACCCAATGACTGGCGTCCTTTGGAGAGGAGGAGAGGCCACAGCCACGTGCCAAGGAAAGCCAAGGAGTCCCAGAGCCCCTGAAGCCAGGAGAGGAGCGGAAAGACCTCCCTCGGAGATTCAGCCCAGCTGGCTCCTGGGACTGCTGGCCCCCTGGTCTACACGCTACTGGGGCCATCAAGACAGTTTGCTAGGGAGGTTGCAGCGAACCACTCCAGCAGGCGAGGACACCTGCCTTCTATGTGTGAAAGAGAAGAGCAGCACATCAAAGTGAATGCTCTGTCAGTGCCTTCAGCAACCACGGGCACACGCCCACACCACGCGTGGGCCAGCCTGGCGTGCGAGCCTGCGGGAGGGCGCATGTCCCAGGGCCAGCGACAAGGACACACACTCCTGTGCGTTCCTTCACTCCAGTGTACTGGCAAGGTGGCCACAGAAGGGTCCAAGAAGAGGACAAATCCCCACCACCAGCAGTCGACAAGTGCTATCACTGACCGTGCTGCCGAACGAGATCCGCGGCTGGAACCATAAGCACCCACCGCAAGAATGAGGCTGTGCATGTTTTTGTATGAAAACAACAGCACCTGCATTTTTTTTAAGGTTTACTTAATTATTTGAAAGAGTTACACAGAGAGAGAGAAGGAGAGGCAGAGAGAGAGGGGTCTTCCATCTGCTGGTTCACTCCCCAATTGGCCACAACAACCAGAGCTGCACCAGTCTGAAGCCAGGAGCCAGGAGCTTCTTCCGGGTCTCCCATGTGGGTGCAGGGGCCCAAGAAGTTGGGCCATCCTCCACTGCTCTCCCAGGTCACAGCAGAGAACTGGATGGGAAGTGGAGCAGCTGGGCCTCGAACTGGCGCCCATATGGGATGCCAGCACTGCAAGTGGCCGCCTAACCCATTACACCACAGCGCCGGCCCCAGCACCTGCATTTATTTGACTTTCTTATATAAGAAACACTCAGGGAAATAGGAGAGTTAGTTAGGAGGGAATGAGCCACAAAGAGGAATTCCACACAATTACAGCAGGAAAAAATAACATCCCTGAGAACACCACTGTATATTTAACTCAAAAAAAAAAAAAAAACAAAAAAAAAAAAAAAAAAAAAAAAAAAAATCGAGGCATTGAGTACCAACGGCTGCTAGTCACTGCGTGACATGCTGTGACAGATGGGGGGGACAGGCAGGGCCTGCTTAACTACTGGTCAATCTTACTGTCAATCTCACTATAAATAATACCATCTTATCAGCAATCACTACCCCAAGAGCCAGGCAAAACGTGCCTCTGTACTCTCACGTCCCCGACCTCTGATTCAGCTCCAAACTGCAGGAAATGCAGGGGTCAGAAGAACACTAAAGTCACACAATGTCGATGCAATGACCAAAACAACGTGGGAAAATTCTTAAAATAACCGAGGGGTTGCAAGGAGCAAGTTTTTCACAGCAAATCAGCAAAGGGTGACAGCAGAAGGGGCCCATCAGCCGCCAGACTCAAAGCACTCATGGGAGAGTAGGAGAGGCAACCCCGCGTGCTGTGACAGCCTCTGTCCTGCACTGTCCCCATGCATGTCTGCCCAGCAACAGTCGTGGCAGATGACCGAGGCCAGACCTGTTTCCTGGGCAGGCTGTGAATGTCACAGGCTGGCGCGTGTACTAGAAACCCCTTCACGGGACTGGGACTTTCCCAGCTCAGGATTGGTCAGCTGTGGCACAGACCCACTGCGTGTTCCCACAGAGTGTAGGGACAGAGGCAAGCAATGTGAACTTGAACTTGTGTTCCCTGCTGCACTGAGAACGGTAAGATTGGCTGACTCCCATACAGGAGTTTTGGTCTTCTGCCAGATCCACAAAACAGCAGCAGTAGGGGCCGGTGCTGTAGCATAGCGGGTAAAGCCACCACCTGCAGTGCTGGCATCCCATATGGGCGCCGGTTCGTGTCTCGGCTGCTCCGCTTCCGATCCAGCTCTCTGCTGTGGCCTGGGCGGGCAGTGGAGGATGGCCCAAGTCCTTGGGCC